GAGGAGAAAGAATGCTGAGTTGCATCTAAAGAACACAATACCTACTGTGAAGCATGTGGGTGGAAACGTCATGCTTTGCAGCTGTTTTTCTGCAAAGGGACCAGGACGACTGATCTGTGTAAAGCAAAGAATGAATGGGGCCATGTATCGTGAGATTTTGAGTGAAAACCTCCTCCCACCAGCAAGGGCATTGAAGATGAAACATGGCTGGGTCTTTCAGCATGACAATTATCCCACACAAACCGCCCAGGTAATGAAGGAGTGGCTTCATAAAAAGCATTTCAAGGTCCTGGAGTGGCCTAGCCAGTTTTCAGATGTTAATCCCATAGAAAATCTTTGGACGGAATTGAAAGTCTGTGTTGCCCAGCAACAGCCCCAAAACATCACTGCTCTTGAGGGGATCTGTACGGAGGAATGGGCCAAAATACCAGAAACAGTGTGTGAAAACCTCGTGAATACTTACAGAAAACGTTTGACCCCTGTCATTGCCAACAAAGGGTATATAACAAAGTATTGAGATGAACTTCTGTTATTGACCAAGTACTTATTTTCCACCATAATTAACAAATACATTCTTTAAAAAATCAAACAATGTGATTTTCTTTTTTCTCATTTTGTCTCTCATATTTGAGGTCTACCTATGATGAAAATTACAGGCCTCTCATCTTTCTAAGTGGGAGAACTTGCACAACTAGTGGCTGACTGAACAGATTTTTGCCCCTCTATATATCGCAGGCTTTAAACCTGCAGGACTGAATTATTTATTTTCCATTAAAACTACATATAAACACCACACACTTGATCCTATTGTATATCATATTTAAATATTGACACAATTATAAAATAAATTTGACTAATGTGACTAAACATTTCACTCATCATACAAAGATCTAGAGATATTTGGTTGCCAGTAGATGGGAACTCAGGAATGGCATTATCATTATGATTTGGCAGCATTCGAGTTTAATTGGCTTTGTCCCAGTATCATTTCTGGGCCACGTTCACATATAGCTACTCATTTATTATACTGTCTGAAAACTTTAAAAGGAAAGCATATCACAGCTGAATTTGTGTGACCGGTGGAACATCCTGCATCATAAACAGTAACACTCATTTAGTGTGGTAACAGCACCATCCGGTGGCACACCCGTAAATAAAACCTGTGAAATTTGGTAGAGGATGAAATGTTTTGAATTTGAGTGACTAAAACCAGACATGAAAAAAAACATTTATGGCACATTATGTCCAAACAAGTGCGTTAAAACACAAGTACATTGCATTAAAGAATGTTATGATTTTGCAATGGCAAAACACCGCCCATTAACTGTTGCACAACCCCTGACACCTGAGGAAACAGTGGGTGGGACAATAAGCACAAGGCTACTGGTTTTTCTTCACATTCTCTTTGGATAAGCAAAACTTATGAGCAAGGACATCAGCGCATCAGTCATTGAATCCTCCAGATTTTCATACTGTTTGATTGGAGGAAGAAGGTCAGGTTTTAGGCTAGGTTAATACTTTAATCAAAACATTCTGTAAATCAGAGTTAAACAATTTTATCTATCAAAAGTGGTTCGATAGACTGCACGTCATTCATTTAATTCACAGTATTTCTTTCAGCGTAACATCTGTGTAAAATCATTTTCCCTCCTCACCCTCCAATGGATGTCTCCATTGAAGAGTTCACTCTTGGCAATGTCAACCCTGTTCCACGTTACTGCTAACTTCAGCTGATGCACGCTGCTTACTTGCTGAAAAACACAAACGCGACACAAAAATCAAAATTAGGATAAAAAAGTGTATGTTGTAAGATTACCGTCTACTTATATTTACCTCCCACGAGTGTTTTAAAAAGCAGGACTGTGTCAAAGTCATTTGGACTCACATGCTCTCCATGGTAGACTGTAATCAAACCTCCACTCTGGTAAATGCTTAAAGTCTGGAGAAAGAAGAAGATGGAAAATGGGAACAGAAATGTTGAACATGACAGACAGAAAGTGATGATAAAAGTCTGGAGAAACAGATCAGACACACTTCAGTGATGAATCTTAGATAGTTACCCAAGACAGCAAGCGACTCTGCAGTTAAAAAAAAAAAAAAAAGCTGTTCACTGTAGTTTATGACCATTTTTATAGAGTAATGGCAGAAATAAAGAGATTTACAGAAAAATTGTGCTTTAATGTTCCCACTGTAAGCATTTGTGATCTGATTAAATATCAGCCTTCACTGACAGATGATATCTTCCTGACAGCCACATCAGATAACGTTTTATCAGGGTCTTACTACCTTATTGTTAGTAATAGTAAGCATTTCAAATTGAAGTTTTTCAAGTCTTTAATGAACTAATGAACTATCTATATGCTGGTCAGCTCGAAATTTCAGTGTCGTTTTTGAAGCTATTTTGCATAAGGAATATAGATCATGTTGGGACAAAATAAACTGCTATAAATGGATCCAAAGAGAATGAGCTGGGAAATCCTCATGTTTCGTATCTGTCCTGTTATGCAAGTGGACTCTAAAATAATTTGCTGATATGTTACAGAGATGCCTTCTGGGTCGTCACACTGAAACTGATTTAGAGGATTTTCAGTGGAAAATATGTGTTTTAGACAAAATTTTCGACACTGTGCTTTTCAAAACATACTTCGATGTCATGTAATGACTGAATGTCAGTCTGTGAACAAATTTTAACATGCATTGTAGTCAAAACAAAAACTGTCCGCAGCTGCACAAAAAAGTCACTTTAAATAAAGTTCTGTAAAAATCATTTAAGCCTTGATTCACTCAGATAATCAGAACATCTCACAGATCAAGGTTTTTCCTCATGCGTGAATGATTACAACATCATAAATGATTATGTGTCTAAAGCTTTATTTAAACAGTGATTCCTAAAATACCATACGGTAAAAGTTTCAGAGGAACTACCTGACAGTCTGACAACTAATCAATGACCACAGTTAGAAAGATAAAGTCTACAGTTCTATAGTCTACTATTTCTGACTTGATTACCATCTCCATCCTTATATATTGTAAGTTTACTCA